CCCCCCCCAAGGAGATTCGTGCATGAATTCCCGGGGTGTTCAGAGAATAAGGACAAGTCTGAACACCACTTTCCTCAGGATGATAAAGGCTGTCGACACTGTGAAATGAGACAAACCCTGAAAGATACCGACAAAAGTGCGGATATCTAAAGAGTTCCACGCTGACGCCACGAACACATGCTTACTTATGGTGGCGTACAGAGGATCAATCGCCGAAGTATGGTTGTGTACTCGCCTCAACCTGACCCAGTCTTCTATTACTCACAATGCTGACAGATGCGTACTGGGATAAGAAACCCGAAATTGGCCTTAATTACCGAAGTGACGCGAGGCTGCTCAACATCTGACGTAGACGCAGGCTAAAGGAAAATTCTCAAAGGCCAGAATGCAGGACCTCGTATTTTCCAACGACTGCGCACTGAAGACCGCAGTCGGGGCCAGACTTCTGGGACTCTTGATGGACCAGCTATCAGTAGCTGCCAGACAGCAACGGGCACCGCCTGCAAAGTACACTCACCGCATAACGAATGCCATTGACCGGCGCCTCGCTGCTGTGGACTAATTTTGCCCCTTACGAAGCACACTATCAAGGCGGATAAAAAAGGGGGGATGTAGGTGCAGTGCTTACGCAAAGTCAACTGCGACGGAGTGGCCATTTCATGGGGATGGTATACATGAAAGCTTCAACTGTAATGTCCTTACAAGTTCCCGCCAACGGGGATAAAAAAAATAAACTACCAGGACATCTGGTCTACCCTTCCCTCTCTCACTTTCTGTCAACTGACTCGGAATCTGTCAAGAGTGCGGGTAAATTCTCGGGCGTAATCGGCAGGCATGGTGACCTGCAGCTGGTAGGGAGCGGCAAGACTGAAAAATCGACGAATGATGCTGCCATAGTGCAGTCACTAACCGCGTTTCCCTACTGTCCACGCACTTTTAAGGTCTTCACCGCCAAACAATACGCACATACAATCATCGTAACAGGAATAACAGCGACAACAACAAATGGACCCTAAGTGGAGAAATATTGCCAGTGGTACGGCGCCGGGGGTTTCCGGGCCTAGATTCCGCCAGTTAGGCACCATTCCCGTCAGGTCGATTGTCACTAAACCAACACTACACCTTGAGCCAATTCAGTCTGCAGGGATCATGGTAATCCGTGATCTCAGTCCACAGAACTCCTCCAAAAAAACGAACTAAGCATGCCGACTCACTGCCTGCCTCCCTCCTGGGGCGTCTGGTCTCCAAAGTGGTGCAAAATAGTTAGGACCTTCTTGAGAAACAGTT